TATATTATATTATATTATATTATATATATATTATATAATATATTATATTATATATATTATATATTATATTATATTATATTATATATATATATATATATATATATATATATATAAATTATTATATCGAAATAATGTTTACATCGTCGAATCTGTGTTTATATTTGAAAAAGGAAAATTGTTGAAAGTGTAAATTGTCGTACGAATCGCGAGGCGCAATTTTATATGCATGAAATGCAACAAGTCGTATCAAATATTATAGAGATACTATTAAAGAATAAAAATACTGGAAAAACTATTTTGGATTCGGAATAAAAATGGCTTCGAGCGTGAAGGATTCAAATAAACTGAGATGCGCGGTGTTACTGAAAATCGTGACAATAGATCCTGTACACTATTTTAACGGATCCTTTTACCGAAATATGTAATTCGATAATCGTTGCAGAGATGTTAAACATCCCGTGGAAATCCTGCTATTCTTGGAACCGCGAATTTTGGATGATCGCGGAAGTCTTCGAAAACATATGAAATTCTCATGAACTCGAAGACGCGCGGATTTTACGGCGAGAAGAGAACTCGATCGAAGATATTCCGGCCGCGAGCCGAGGGCGGGTTCAAGGACCTCCGGACCGGTTGATAATTCATTTAAACAATATCTGGCATTAAGCTCGGCGCGGGCCGAGTTATCTAGGCGAAGGGATCAATCACGGGATAGTAATCAAATAGCTGTACGGTTCCGTGACGGTCTCGTTCGTCACTGAGAGACGTCGCGAGAAATGGATACGGATCCGCATTACCCGGCTATAAATATACGGTGCCCTCTCAGCCGTGCGCGGCGACGATCCCTCGTGACGCTTGTCATTTATATTATAATAATTCCGGCTGGCCCTGAACGACATGCCTAAGTGACGTTTCCCGAATTCCCGCTCTCTTATTAGACCGCGAAGTTCTTGCCCGAAGCAAACTAATAGCGACGAAAATTGCTTTCCTTCGCTCGCAACCTGACAAAACGATGTTTTTAACGCGCTTCACCCTCGGATTGGACTTCGAAGACGTTGCAGAAGTGTCGTTGAACGAGCCGGCCATAGTGTTACGTAAGAATCAACGGTGGTCGTGAACGAGCTAACGCCGTCACGGCCGATGACGCCGCCCTGGCGTCAATCGGTTCAAATCTTCTCCGTCGTTAAACACGTTGACTTCCACGCCGCCGATCTTAAAAGTTGCATAAATCTGAAGTATTTTATTGGAAAAATTTGCATGAAATTTGCGTAAATTCAAATATCTTTATCTAATCCAATTAAAATTCAGAAGTTAAATTGTATAATATGAATTACTTTCTGGACATTCTTACGCTTCGATGATCTTAATAAAATTAGGAAGATACAATAGAATAGTATAAAAATTCGTAGTGAAATCTACGAAATCCAAGTGTTAAAGTCGAACTTCGTTGCACCGATACATTGTAAATTTAATCATAGCACGCCCGAGCGACGTCTTTTACGTTAAATCCGTCGATAAAATCGGGTCGATTTGTACCGAGTTTTCCAGTCCAGAAATTATTTAAACTCGATTGTTTCGACGTCTTCGAAAGGCGGGCCGGACGAGGTTCAAAACCGTCGAGTTACCCGGACGGTTTCCTTCGTAAGAAAACGATTGTGTACAAGCACGGAATCGGCGATCGGCTATTTTTAAGGACAACGGAACGACGGGCCAGCGAAGTTTCGCTGCGGATATCCTGACCTCGTCTCCGCGGCATTGTGTAAAATCGTTCGCGGGCCAGAGAATGTTCCTCGGCACTCTCGTCGGCTTATAAAACTGCGAAACAATGGCGGCGGACGCCGAAACTCCATTACGGCTTTTCCCCGGAAAATGGGCATCGGGCTCCGCCGGCCGATCACCAGATTTTTGTTTCATAATAGGCGAGAGCACGCCGCTGATCGATTTTCCGCCGGCGAACATCGCTCCTGTTCCGTTTAGCGGGAAAAATTCAATTGAAAGCCTAGCGCAGCATCGCCCTACAGCCCCTTGCCCTTGCCCACCCAATGCTTCCGTCTTTTGTGCCGGTCTGATCGATTAATTTGCGGTTGCTTCAAGACCATTTGCTTCTCAAAAGACTCGCACGCGCGTGTGTAAACATCGCAGACGTTGCACCTCGTGCAATTTCAAGGAAAACAAATTTATACAACAGACGCGGCAAATCCTTTCCGCCGTGAATGGTCGATGCAACGGTGGGAAGAGGAATTCATTTACTTTTTGAGGTTAGGTAGGGGTTAAAAACTGTTGCACGTGTTGCTTAGCTTTTTACGCACCGTGGAAGATATTTTAATCAACCTCGAAAAGTTGAGGTTGCTCGTAGATGTACAGTTTGATATTTTATTTAAAAAGTTTTTCATTCAGTTGGCAAACGCTATGAACCAATATATAAAAACAACAATTAATAAAAACCAAAACGCATTCACAAGTTGTTGGCATTTTTGTGATTAAAGTTGGGGAATTGTGTGGTCGAGCGAATTTTTTTAAGTGAATTAAATAGATTGTTTCATAATTTAAAAAAGCAACATATCATTTGACGTTTTATGCTAATTTTATTTTTTTTTTCTCACAGTTTGAGTAACATTAAATAATTGACATTGACGTTTTTTCCCATTTTCTGATATTAAAAGAAAAATTTGGTGCAACTTGGGTATTTATTCTCTTTAAAATCATGCGAGTTATTCAGCCCGTGCTTTTTCTAGCAGCAATTTTCTTAACAAATTTAACTAATCGATAAGCGCTTGTTTTGACACACTTCCTTTCTGAGATGAACCGCGAGGACGTTGCAGTAGCGTCATAAAACAAGCTACCGAAATAGTGTCACGAAAATACTCGACGGCCTTGGACCAGTTAACGCCGTCAAGACCGATGACGCCCCCCTTGCGTCAACCGGTTTAGCTCGTATTTCTGGCGTGCCCGAGGATGAACCATTTCGCAGATGCAACAAAGACGAATAGATAGATGAATCTGCAAAGGCGCGTGCTGAGGCAGGGCCGCACACGACTCTGATAAATCAATAATAAACGCAGAAAGCGTAACAATTGAGTGTTCAGCCTCGCTTATTGGAAAATCCCGGAGCCCGGCGAAGGAGCGCGAGCGGGCGCCGTGAAAACGCGCTTGAATTACATGGGATTTTCTGTCCGACTAGGTTCGTTGGAAGTTTCTCGGCGGCCTATCGATGACAGCGAACGGCAGGGTCGACGGGATCGGGCCGTAGGCGGCTCCGGGCCGAATTAGCGATGACAAGGGAAGCAAGATTTACGGGGGAGCGGCAGGCCGACTCGCAATAAGAAGTTATTCCGTATATCTTTCGCGATTTATTCGCGACGCGAGCCTTCCCCGCACGGGATTCGAACTTTTCCGGCACGGCACGGAAGTTTCCGCGGTCGCACTCCAACCGGAAGATTAGTAGCGCCGCCGTTGCGGATTATGATGGCAGTAAACGCTCTCCGGAGCGGCTCGTTCTTTCGTTCCTCAACTCGCGCCGGTGAATTTCAATTGGCCGGGGTGGTCTCGGTGACAGTGGTTGTCGCAATCATGCTCGGAATATTCGCCGATCTGCCGGAACGATTTCGGTAAGGCGATACTTCATTTTATACAGAGCGTTCCCGAGATAGGTGTTACAGACTTCGGTATCGTATTCTTCACACTCTATGAATGAAAAATGGTCGTACGAACATACAACCCCTGCTACGAACCATCGTTAATCGAGTATGGTATTTGTGCAGCAGAGAATTTCAAATGGAACTGTTTCGGAACTGACGAAAAGATATACTCAAAATAAAATATTTATTTTCGTAATTTATCATTGGATGACCAATATAAACTGTTTCATTTCACGTTTTACATTGTCAAGAT